CTAGCATCATATTTGAGATCTGTGGTTGTGGGTGGCATCTGTAGGACCACACACTCAGAACCAACGCACCCGGTCCAACGAGCAGCCTTATCACAGCGCTGCATTGTGTCTTGGAGTGCTGGGTCCTTCTGGTGACAGCTGCGGATCATCATCCTGTCCATGAGTGTTGTAAGATAAAATACAAATAGCTCTGGAAGAAACTACTGCAGCAGCACTTCTAACAGGTTGCACCACAATGCATTTTGTGTGACAACTTGGTAACAGCACTTGTAGTCTTATGAAGCAAACTGATGAACCTTTCCATCAAATGTTGTATTTACAAAAAAGTACGATTCCCGTGTTTCGTACAACCCAATATTTAAATACAAACCAACTGTGTGTTGTACAATTCTTATATACACTCTTGATATGATACGACTTGACTTGTGGTATCTCACTCACGGGTTTGTGTAGATTGCACTAAGATATTGAACTGGAGATTGGGACACATGCAAAAAAAAAAAAAGGAAAAGAAAGAAAGAAGTGTAGAGACTGTTATTGTGCAAGGGCAAAACAGAAAATAAATATGATGATAAGTAAAGTACAACAGTTAACATGTGTGCCACTGCTAAAAGTCTGACTTGCTGTCAGGATGAAATGAATGGGAGGCAGATTGGTCTGTACTTCAACCTGTCGAAAAACAGAATGACATGATACTGTTGATTTCCCTTTTGGTTCTCGTACATAGTCAGTCATTTAAAAATCTGTTAATCCATGTGAGTGAGCTCAACAACACAGCGTGAAGGACAGTGGGTAACACATATAACTAAATTTCAAGTTGTGTATTCCAAGTGTTAATGATATTTAACCACGCAAAAGAAGTAACTTCATTCTGCCCTCAGTGTTAAGAGCAAGTTACAGGTCGTTTCTTGTTTTCTTGTGTTGTCAGCAGATATGTTAGTCAACACTCAGATACAGACTATGGTAAGCAGCTCGGGGACCAAATGGCAGTAAGAAATGTTTTTGAACAAACAACAAAGACCAAATATTATTTTCATATTGTTTGGCAAAAATAAGCTATGAAAGTTTTTTAAATGAAACAAAGCAATACCATATTACACATGATCCAACTTCACACTCTTTATATTGTTTGCCTGTTTTTATCTCTCCCAGTCAAACTTCACTCAGTTACAGAGCAGCTATGAAACACTGAGTAATATATCACACCAGTTACATGATGAAGTAAAGATGATGAAGGAAGAACTTAAAAGGTTGAAGAAAAGTTCAAAAACAGCAAATACCAGTTATTATACCAATTCACATGATTCCACATTAACCATTTCCTCTTAATTTTTTTCTTTTTTCTTGATTTTTCATGTTTGTGGAAAACTCATTGGATTTTCTATGAGGATCTCTGTTAGAGACTATCACTTACAAAGCTACAAAACCTGAGTGAAAAATCAATAGTAACTTATAAAGTAAACGAGCTGAAAGTGAAAGGTGGCAGTCACGAAACTTAACAATGACATTACAAAGTCTTATCAATGTTACTCTGACTGACCTGAATTCTGTTCTTTAAACACTGTTTTGACAATAAGTGAATGGCTGTCCTGAAAGATGGAAGAGATTTGGATTCAGTTGTTACTTTAATCCACTGAGATGAAAAGTTGGGATGACAGCAGGAAACACTGTCAGCACAGAGGAGCTGATCTGGTGATCATAAACAGCAGAGAGGAACAGGTTCAGTGTGTTTGTTAACGTGTGTTGATTGTACATGTAACACTAGTGACCTGCTTCCTGTCTTGACTTGGATGGATGTTATTTGCCTGGATAAACATCTATGTTAAGGAGTAGTTGTATTCATTAAACTGTATATATAATAAAAATAAATTTCCAGCTTATCCTTATTTAGGTTCACTTGGTTCATTAATTGAGTCTGTTTCTGCTAAAACTACTAGCAGAAAAGACATTTTCAAAAATGTCTTTGTCTGAGAGAAAAAGCACAGACTGGTTTTATTGTTTTGATGGAAATTGAAGACTTGAACAAACATGGATGAACATTGAAGAACCTGTATAACCAGAAGGTCCTCTGTTCTTTCATCTAGTGAAGTTGTTGTTAGAAGATATCAGAGAAATTACTGAACTCTCTATTGATTCATATAGATTTCCAGATAAATAGAATCCAAAGGGGCAGAGAAATTGGAGAAAAAAAAGAAATGCAATGACTCTAAATATCAATGAAAAACAACTCTAAATGGCTGGAAGGCCTTGAAAACATCTTTATTACCTTTTAAGACACATTTTTAATGAAATGAAAAAGTTAACTGTTAAATGTTGGTCTTACAAGGTGACATTACTACAACACAGAATTATAAACAGAAGAAATGATTTTTGTCTCTTGTCAACTGTCAGGAGTTTGTCACAAAGCTGAACAACGATGGAGAGTCCTGGATTTGGTCTAAGATCAACGTGGGAAACCCGATACACATGGGAATGGGTGGACGGATCACCACTGACACAAACGTGAGACAGTTTTTGTTTCTCTGTTACTTTTGTTCCTGTAAACTACTAAATTTTCTTTCTATTGGCATTCAAAGTCATTGTTGGAAACTAATACAACCATGTGTTAAGACAGTATCACATGTTAAAATCATTATTTGTCAGTGCTGGTTTTATTAACAGACACCAGATACTGAATCAATGAAAGAAAGAAAAAAGTAAAATCACTGTTTGAAATGAACAGCTGGACTTGAACTCTCTTCATTTACAGTTTGTGATGAGTTCCAGTAACAATGGCTTCATTTTTCTGGACAGTTCAGCTTATTGAATTTGTTGTGATCAATTTGTCTTTATCATTCTGACAAAAACAAAAGATGGTGGGAGAAAAACGTTTAAATGTAGCTCAGCATGAAGGACGACCTGCTTCTTCTCTGGTGTTTTTAAATGATAAGAACATATGAAGGAAAAAGCTGAATATGAGCATCAGTCCCACAGATGTTATTAAGAGAGCAGCTTTACAACTAATGTTTCCTCCTGGTCAACTGACACACTGCAACAAGAATCCCTGCAACCCACAAAGCATTCAGCCTCAGAGACGACCATTAAAAACTGCTGTCTTAAAACTGTTATCAGACCAGGAAGCTAGAAAACGTCTTTGCAGTGTTGAGCAAAGCAAAACAACTCTCAGGGAAAAGAACAAATCCATGTCATCTCTTAGTCTGGTTTCAGTAGTTCTGCACCATATGAGGAAAATTCCATGTTGCAATAACACTGTTCAATATTGCGATGACGATGTGAAGCTGGACATATACAAAGGTCACTATAAGGTCATCTCCTCCGCCCTCCTTCCTCTCACTCTCTCATGTCTTGATGTGTCTGAAAATTCTCTAAAAACTAATGACTGAAAATAATAGAAATGTTTAAAGTAGAGATTCAAATTTATTTCAATGTCAAAAAAACCAGGGGTTTCAGATCAGTTTCAAAACAATAATATTCTTGTCCCACAGGTTTGGAGCGACAGAACAGCTGAGATCATCAAGCAGACTGGAATATGTAGCATTCTGTGATCAACAAGAAAATGGAGAGGATTTCATGATTCAAGTCATAGTTACATTCACAAAAACTGGATCTGTGAGAAATAGATTTCCTGCTTTCACTGAAGGCAGAGGCGTGTGTGGTGTTGGGATTAAGTGGTTCTCAAATCAGACGAAAGACAGCTATTCTTTATAACTGAAAGTTAATTTCCAGGTTTTCCTTATTTAGATTACTTGGTTCATTAATGAGTCTGTTTCTGCTAAAACTACTCTGCGTGTCTTCTTTATTTTCTCTGGTCTCCTGGAGTTAGCAGCTGCTTGTTTTTACCTACCTGTGAGGACCTTCACCGGGAATGTAAAACACCCAGGCGAAGCTAGTCCTGCTAATTGTGAATCCATGAATTACGCTACGACTAATCAGTTAAAAACGACTTGAATGACGGAAATATGTAATCAACAACGGGCTGCAACTGTCTGCAGCTGTAGGGTGGACAAAGATGAATCAGTGATAGGTCACATAGAATAACAGGTTTCATCTGAAGACCCTGAACAGATGAAGGGGATTATTCAATTATTATGTAATGTATGATGTGGCTTTATTTTTGTCAGTGTTAACAGTGGACAACAAACTGTCTGCTTTAGCTACACGCTATGTTACAACAGCAACAATGAAAATTTAACATTTAATTTGTCATGGTTTGCTATGGCAGACACTTTTTGTTAGTTTTGTTTGGACTTTTTGCACTTTCCTGTTTTATTTTGTATTGGTTTCCTTGTGTGTCTGTGTTTTGCTTCTTGTCTTGGTCTCGTTTCTGTGTGGTGATTGTCTGCCCCGCCCCTAATGTGTTTCACCTGTGTTCAATCACCCTTGCCTCCCTTGTGTCTATAGAGTCCTTGTGCTCCCCTTTGTCTGTTGTTTCTTCACTGTTGTCTTTCTGTTTATCCCTGCTGTCTCTCGGTTGTTCTTTGGATCTTGTGTGAAATGAACCTGTCTGCACCGTCCCAATGTGTTGCTGCATTTGGGTCCTACTTACCTCGCAAACCTTGACATAAGTTCATATCACTGAACATCACAGAACTTTTTGAAAGAAGTTAGTTCCTCTACCAGAGAAAATATTAATAACTGTACAGTTCACACATCAAGTTTCCTGTGTCCAGTAACTTGCTTCTTTCTCTTGCAAGCTTTAACAAATGTATTCACATGTATGTGCACAATTAGCTGCTGCTGAGTGTATCTCTGCATAAATGACAGAATAATAGTCAAATCAAAGCTTCTTCACTCATGACTTCTATTTATCTGTCTATTTAAAAGCTTTTCCAAATCCAATGCATGACCTTATAAGTCTTCAATTAGCAGCAGAAACATATAAATGACGATCTGATGGAGAAATGATTCATTAAAAATCAACAATTGTGTGGTTGTGGTTTGTTCTGCTGCTACTTCCCTTTCTCTCTGTTGAAGGCCGCCTGACTCAGGGAGAAACAGACAAGCAGTGACGACTGGTCAAAATCGAGTTCACTCAGTTTTTAGCTTTTCCACTGATCGGGATGTCTACAGATATTCAAGCTGAATCAGATTTGAGGGTGAAATATATCAGAGGAGTTCAAGAGGACAGAAGACAGAGAGAGAAAAACGAGGTGGAGATGTTTGAGGACGGAGAGCAGCAGACTGGCGTTTGGTTACAAACAGCTGGTAAGTATGAAATCATGAATATTGCCAAGGAAAAGCTAATGTTCAGTATTAGTGTGTTGGGATCTTAAATCTATGTTGTAGAATAAGCATGATGAACCCATCTGATTCATCATCAGGTCACTTGGTGGTGTCATTTGGTGCCACCTGAGTTCAAATGTCATTGCTGTCATCAGACAGGTGAACTGAAAGAAAAGAAAAGCTCCACAGTTCAAACAAGTCCCACAGAAATGCTTAAAGAAAATGTATCCTCTGTGTATTTTGCTTCTGTAGAACGCCACACTGAGAAGAACCTTCCAGCTGTCAGTAGAAGCTGGTCCAGAGCTTTTACAGTGTCTCTGGGAGTGCTGTGTCTGCTGACATTGACTGGGATCATCACACGCTGTGAGGAGTTTTATTACATAACATTACATGTCTTATTCCCCACATTAAATCCTCTTTAAGTAAAATGCTTTCACGTTGCAGTCCTGATTGATTTTGTTTCTTTTTGTTACTTGATATGTCAGCTAGCACATCAGTTACCCACTAGTCACCACACCCTGAGTGAGCTGTACACTCAGCAGGCTGAAGGACAGTGGTTCCCTCAGCCTGTAATTAAATTCCAGTCAGCAAGTGTCACAGTGACGTTTAATAATTCACAGGATGTCACTTAATGGTGCATTTTTTAAAAATCAGATTGATTAGATATTTTTGATGTGGTTCTTGTTTTATTGTTTCTCACCAGATATTTTAGTCACTTTAGAAAAAGACCAGCTGGAGACCAGACACAACAACCTGAGCGTCAGTTACAACCAGCTCCAAGGAGAACTCTTACGAATGAAAGGTTTTCAAACAAATAAGCGAATACTGTATTACACAGGATCCAACTTCACTGTCTATTAAGCATAACATTTTGATATTGTTTTACTGTTTCCTCTGTTGCTTGTTTTCTCAATACGTAGCAGTCAACTTCACTCAGTTACAGGATGGAGTAAAGAAGCTGAATCAAATAATCGAAGGTGAGAAAAGTAACAGCAAATACCAGTATTATACCAATTCACATGATTCCACTTAACCATGTCTCTACTTTTCCTTCTGATTTTTTCATGGTGTTGGACTGTTTTTCTATGAGGATTTCTCTGTTAGAGACTATCACTTACACAAGCTACAAAACCTGAGTGAAAATCAATAGTACTTATAAAGTAAACGAGCTGAAAGTGAAAGGTGGCAGTCAGAAACTTAACAATGACATTACAAGTCTTATCAATGTTACTCTGACTGACCTGAATTCTGTCTTTAAACACTTGTTTGACAATAAGTGAAATGCTGTCCTGAAGGATGGAAGAGATTTGGATGCAGTTGTTACTTTAAATCCACTGAGATGAAAAGTTGGGATGACAGCAGGAAAGACTGTCAGGACAGAGGAGCTGATCTGGTGATCATAAACAGCAGAGAGGAACAGGTCAGTGTGTTTGTTAACGTGTGTGTGATTGTACATGTAACAGCTAGTGACCTGCTTCCTGTCTTGACTTGGATGGATGTATTTGCCTGGATAAACATCTATGTTAAGGAGTAGTTGTATTCATTAAACTGTATATATAATAAAAATAAATTTCAGCTTATCCTTATTTAGGTTCACTTGGTTCATTAATGAGTCTGTTTCTGCTAAAACTACTCTGAGTGTCTTCTTCATGTTCTCTGGTTCTCCTGGAGTTAGCAGCTGCTTGTTTTTACCTACCTGTGAAGACCTTCACCAGGAATGTAAAACACCAGCGAAGCTAGTCATGCTAATTGTGAAGCCATGAATAAGCTAAGACTAAGCAGTTGAAAACAACTTGAATGACAGAAATGTGCAGCTAAACCTCAACAATCACTTCAACTGTGAGCAGCTGTAGTGCAGAGCGGACAAAGATGAATCAATGATAGAAGCATGTTTCATCTGAAGACCCTGAACAAATTAAGTGGATGGAAATTATTACATAATGTGTGATGTGGGTTTATTGTTATCAGTGTTGACAGTGGCCAATCACATATGATCTTTCTTTTAGTGTAAAGTGTTTCCACTGTTCAACTGCAGTCTGAATGTGTGTAGCGGTGCATGCAGCAGAGCCAACCCGCTGATTAAAACCAGTTTTATTGGGTAGTTATCAAAGAGCTTCACTGTGTGACAGTAAGGACGATTTTCAACTGTTTCCTTTATGTTACAACTGCAACAATGAAACATTTAAGTTCATATCACTAAAGATCAGAACTTGTTAAAGAAGTCAGTTTCTCTACCAGAGAAAATATTAATGACTGTAAAGTTCACACGACATTTCCTGTCAAAGTAACTGCCTCCCTCTTCTGCAGCCTTCAACTACATGTATTTACATGTATGTGCACATTGCTGCTGCTGAGTACAAATGTATCGCTTACTTGTGTTTTTCACCTGCTGCCAGTCTCTGACCTGCTTCCTGTCTTGACTCTGATGGATTTATTTTCCTGTTTAAACAGCTTCCTGGTTGAACAATTGTAAACCTGTTCACTGAATCTAGTCAAGTGTCTGTATTTCAACCCGCTCTGCCCGTGATCACTGTATAGGTGTTTTGCTCCACTTCTCTGTTGCTTTTCTACATTAGCTATGACAAAAGATTCTTTGAAAAAGGTGCAAATATTATTTCAGAGACACTTTAAGACTTTCCTTCATAGTTGTAGATTTGTTGAGGTTACTGCACATGTGAAGTGCAATAAAAAAAGTCTTGTTTCTAGAAATGCAGAAAAAATGTTGATGGTTGATTAATGAGGAAGAATGCAAGATTAGCATCAGTGCAAGTGAAGAGAAACAGAGGAGTAAAAACACAGGCTAGACATTTTCAAAATTTCTTATCTGAGTGAAAAGCACAGACTGGTTTTATTGTTTTGATGGAAATTGAAGACTTGAACAAACATGGATGAAAACTGAAGAACCTGTATAACCAGAAGGTCCTCTGTTCTTTCATCTAGTGAAGTTGTTGTAAGAAGATATCAGAGAAATTACTGAACTCTCTACTGATTCATAGTTTTCCGGATGAATAGAATCCAAAGGGGCAGAGAAATTGGAGAAAGAAAAAATGCAATGCTGACTTTAAATATCAATGAAAACAACTCTAAATGGCTGGAAGGCTTCAAAACATCTTTATTTACCTTTTAAGACACATTTTAATGAAATGAAAAGTTAACTGTTAAATGTTGGTCTACAAGGTGACATTACTACAACAGAATTATAAACAGAGAAATGATTTTTGTCTCTTGTCAACTGTCAGGAGTTTGTCACAAAGCTGAACAACAATGGAGAGTCCTGGATTGGTCTAAGATCAACGACGAAAAACCGAGGATACACATGGGAATGGGTGGACGGATCACCACTGACACAAACGTGAGACAGTTTTTTGTTCTCTGTTACTTTTTGTTCCTGTAAACTACCAATTCTTCTTGCTATTGGCATCAAAGTCATTGTTGGAAACTAGTACAACCATGTGTTAAGACAGTATCACATGTTAAAATCATATTGTCAGTGCTGGTTTTATTAACAGACACCAGATACTGAATCAATGAAAGAAAGTAAAAAGGTAAAATCACTGTTTGAATGAACAGCTGGACTTGAACTCTCTTCATTTACAGTTTGTGATGAGTTCCAGTAACAATGACTTCATTTTTCTGGACAGTTCAGCTTATTGAATTTGTGTGATCAATTTGTCTTTATCATTCTGACAAAACAAAAGTGGTGGGAGAAAAACGTTTAAATGTAGCTCAGCATGAAGGACGACCTGCTTCTTCTCTGGTGTTTTTAAATGATAAGAACATATGAAGGAAAAAGCTGAATATGAGCATCAGTCCCACAGATGTATTAAGAGAGCAGCTTTACAACTAATGTTTCCTCCTGGTCAACTGACACACTGCAACAAGAATCCCTGCAACCCACAAAGCATTCAGCCTCAGAGACGACCATTTAAAACTGCTGTCTGTAAAACTGTTATCAGACCAGGAAGCAAGAAAACGTCTTTGCAGTGTGAGCAAAGCAAACAACTCTCAGGGAAAAGAACAAATCCATGTCATCTCTTAGTCTGGTTTCCAGTAGTTCTGCACCATATGAGGAAAATTTGCCATGTGCAATAACACTGTTCAATATTGCGATGACGATGTGAAGCTGGACATAGACAAAGGTCACTATAGGTCATCTCCTCTACCCTCCTCCCTCTCACTCTCTCATGTCTTGATGTGTCTGAAAATTCTCTAAAAACTAATGACTGAAAATAATAGAAATATTTAAAGTGAGATTAAATTGATTTCAATGTGAAAATAATCAGGAGTTTCAGCTCAGTTCAAAACAATAATATTCTTGTCCCACAGGTTTGGAGCGACAGAACAGCTGAAACATCAAGCAGACTGGAAATATGTAGCATTCTGTGATCAACAAGGAAAATGGAGAGGATTTCATGATTCAAGTCATAGTTACATTCACAAAAACTGGATCTGTGAGAAATAGATTTCCTGCTTTCACTGAAGGCAGAGGCGTGTGTGGTGTTGGGATTAAGTGGTTTCTCAAATCAGACGAAAGACAGCTATTCTTTATAATGAAAGTTAATTTCAGGTTTTCCTTATTTAGATTTACTTGGTTCATTAATGAGTCTGTTTCTGCTAAAACTACTCTGTGTGTCTTCTTTATTTTCTCTGGTTCTCCTGGAGTTAGCAGCTGCTTGTTTTTACCTACCTGTGAGGACCTTCACCAGGAATGTAAAACACCAGCGAAGCTAGTCCTGCTAATTGTGAATCCATGAATACGCTACGACTAATCAGTTAAAAGACTTGAATGACAGAAATATGTAATCAACAACGGCTGCAACTGTCTGCAGCTGTAGGGTGGACAAAGATGAATCAGTGACAGGTTACATCAGAATAACAGGTTTCATCTGAAGACCCTGAACAGATGAAGGGGATTATTCAATTATTATGTAATGTATGATGTGGCTTTATTTTTGTCAGTGTTAACAGTGGACAACAAACTGTCTGCTTTAGCTACACGCTATGTTACAACAGCAACAATGAAAATTTACCATTTAAGTTCTTATCACTGAACATCAGAACTTGTTGAAGAAGTTAGTTCCTCTACCAGAGAAAATATTAATAGCTGTACAGTTCACATATCAAGTTTCCTGTGTCAGTAACTGCTTCTTTCTTCTGCAAGCTTTAACAAATGTATTCACATGTATGTGCACATTGCTGCTGCTGAGTGTATCTCTGCATAATGACAGAATAAAGTAAAATAAAAGCTTTTCATCATGACTTCTATTTATCTGTCTATTTAAAAGCTTTTCCAAATCCAATGCATGGACCTTATAGTCCAGGCATCACCAAATAGCGGACCTCGGTAAGGACCCGGACCGAGTGATGGTTCTGTCCGGACCCGTGAGCCGTGACCAATCTCTGATAAATTTACGAGAATAGACGATTTTCATGGAGCATTTTTTTCTGACGGTCGCAACTATAGACGGCGGGCGCTACTACTCGAGTTAATACGGCAATAGCTTCACTCAGTTGAGCCAATCGAATCCTTTGTTTACCCTGCGTGGCCGGGGCACCAGAGCAGTGAGGAAGAGACATGGCTTGCTCCAAAAGACGGAAGGACCTTTGTTTTAAAGATGAATGGACGGAGAAGTTTATGTTCATTCTTCCGGCAGGCAGTTCAAAACCAGTGTGCCTCATATGCTCCGAAAATGTCGCATTAATTAAAAGTGGCAACGTGAAGCGGCACGACGAAACAAAGCACAGCTCTTTTGAGCAAAGTTTTCCCCTGAAGTCCGAGCCGAGGGCACGCAAAATAGCCGAACTGCAAGCGCAGTATGACAGGTCTACCCGACTCATCACGCATACATTTACAGCCCAGCAACGTGAAAACGAATGTTCACTAAAAGTATCGTGGATTTTGGGGCAACACAAAAAAACATTTAGTGATGGGACAGTGGTGAAGGAGTGCTTAAATGCTGTTGCTGAGACATTATTTGAGGGGAAACAAAAAGACGAGATGTGTGAAAAAATCAAACAAATCCCGATGTCAGCTTCAACAGCAACCAGAAAATCAGAAATATTAGCAGATGATGGACTGGCACAGCTTGATGCAGCCATTCAGAGTGCACTATGCATTTCTTTGGCCATTGACGAATCTACAGATGTTACTGATAATGCCCAGCTTTTGGTCTATGTGAGATTTTTTTCACAAAGATAAGAAGGAGCTCGGTGAGGACTTGCTGGGTGTAACACCACTTGAAACACACACAAGAGGAGAGGACATATATGCAGCAATAAAAGAGATGCTGACAAAGAGGGGCATAGATCTGAAGCAGGTTGTCTCTGTCACCACGGATGGTGCTCCTGCCATGGTGGGAAAAGAGCGGGGGGCTGTGTCCCGGATGAAAGAGGACAACCCAGATCTTATTGCTTACCACTGTCTCATCCATCAGACTGTTCTGTGTGCCACTCTATCAGAACATTTTGCTGAAGTAATGAACACAGTGATGAAACTCATCAACTTCCTTAGGGCATCCTCATCCCTTCAGCATCGCCTCCTGAGAGAATTCCTGGAAGATGTTGAGGCAAATGCCAATGACCTGCTACTGCACAACAATGTAAGGTGGCTGAGTAAGGGCAATGCACTGGGACGTTTCTGGTCTATTCGAAAAGAAATAGAAGCTTTCTTAAAGCAGGTCAAGAGCCAGAGAGCCACACAGTTTTCACTGTTTCTGCAAGATGAGCACAAGATGGATATGGTTGCTTTTTTGGTTGACATTACGTCACATCTTAATGAGCTCAATTTAAAGCTGCAGGGCCAGAACAATTCAGTTGCTGATTTGATGACAGCTGTTCGCTCTTTCCAGAGGAAGCTGGACATTTTCAAAGAAGATATTGGTGCAGAGTGTGAACACTTCCCAAAACTGCAGGAACAGATGCAGGGTGAGAGAGATGTTTCTCCCTATGTTGACTTCCTCAGCAAGCTGATTGAAAACTTCAGTAACAGGTTCAACAGCTTCTGCCTTGGGCCACAGCTCCTCCTGCTAATCCAGAATCCTTTCCTCATCAGAGAGGTCAGAGGATTTTCAAAGGAGGTGACACAGGTGTTCAAGTGGGCACATGCAGGATCTCTACAGCTTGAGCTCATTGATCTGCAAGGAAATGCTGCATTAAAGGAGCATTTTGAGGCAACTGACTTCTGGCTTGCGGGCAAAAACCGTCCCGACAGCAATAACATCTTGCCATTATACTTTTATCCATGTTTGAGAGTGAATGACAGACACAAAATGTCACACATCATGTTGCAGACTGCACTGTAGCCTGCACAACACCTGGTGCTAAAATACATCTACATCATGGCAGCAACATTTACCCACAGAATCACTTCCTCTTCAAAGCATGAGAAACTTTATTTTTCTCTTTTTGCAGCCATGCTTTATTTCAAGCTACTGTGAGCTTTTATTCTGAAACATTCTGACAGGAAGTTTCATATGATGTAAGGTATGAAAAAAATAACTGCAGCAAATATATAATATGTGACTGTGGGCCACAGCGCCCCACATGTGAAGACTAACAAAGAAATTATAGTTGGATTTTTACCAATCAATTTCTTAAATTAGCCTTTGATTATGTTCCGGCCCATATTACAGTTCATCAATCCAGCTCAATTTAAAGTCATTATCATCTATCATCTTATATGTTGTTTTCTTTCTTAAATCAAACTACAACAGCACAACATTTCATTTCATTACCACTCAAACATTGAAACTGAAATAAAGATAAAGTCTGTTCCTCTACCAGACAGAACAAAAATGACTGCAGTCCACACACCAGTGTCAGTTTCCTGTGTCACAGAGGTGTGTTTATTCTGTGTGGGCAATCATGTTTGCAGTTTGGAACAAATGTGTGTATGTGAACACACACATCTGTTGTTGAGTGAAAACTTTGTGTCTCCTCAAAGTCACTATCAGGAAATGAAGATAAGAAACAGCTTGTTTAAATTATTTATTTAAATTAAATAATTTACTTTGAATTCTAAATTATTAATTTATTGGAATATACCTTTGTATAGTTTATCTGAAGGGTTTCATCACTTTAATGACTGAATTTAGGTCACTAAGCTGTCAATGGGAGGTTTCAATTTAACACCAACAATGTGCTAGATGTGTATCTGTGGTTGCAGTTCATCCTGCTGCCACTTCCTGTACTGTAGGCTGTCCGGCTCAAAGACAAATTCACAAACAGCGACACCTTGTCAAGAGTAAATTCAGATCGCATTACATTTTTTACCGTGTCGTCAGATATTCTCGCTGCACCAGCTCTGAGCTTGAATGTGAGACATGTCAGAAAAGAGAACAGTGGAGAGGGAGAGGAGAATCAGGAGGAGATCTTAGAGGATGAGGAGCATCACGCTGATCTTGGGTCACACAGTAAGTCTGACATGATGAATAACAGGGAAGGTAATGTCAATTATTTGGTGTGGCTATATAAAATTTAGATACTGAATGATGATTCACAATTTACTAATCAATTCACAGTTAGTGACCATTTAATACATGTCACTATCAGGTGCTGTAATCTGCTGCCATGTGAAATCAAATGTTATTGTTCTAATCAAGACCAATGAGAACGAGTAACATTACCTACTAACAATACTCACACAGTTACAAGAGGCCACTTCAAACTTCAAGCAAGTGAAATAAAACAGGTTCTCTCTATCTTTTGTCTTTGTAGGAGCACACACTCAAAACAATCCTGCAGCTGTCAAAAGATGGAGTTTAAAACCTGCAGTGACTCTGGGAGTGATCCAGCTGCTGATACTAGCTGGACTCTTCATACGTTGTGAGGAAAATTGTCATATATTAAATCCCTCTCTGTTTCTCTGTAATGCCGTCTTAATGTTTTTCATGAGAAAATATAGTTAAGGTGAGTGTCGACATATTTTATCAAAACTTCATGTGACTCTCTTCCTACGATTAGTGGTGTCTTCAGTGGTTTTGTCCATGAGACAAACAACCAAGTATAACGTTAAGAGGACAGTTTATAGAGAGCGCTGTAATACGATATGCTTTGCCATCATTATGACTGCTGGTAACTATTCTGTGTTTTATAGCTTGCTTTGTGGTTCAATCAGTTGAGAAGTGAGAACCAAGTGTGTGTGAATGCTAACTTTTTTTTTTTACTGCAGTCAGCTCAGAACCAAACTGTTGCACTGATTATTGGATGAATGATGATTCAGTCAGGCAGCAGTTGGGACTGAGTCACAAGTTTTAAACTAAGTTTGATTGAAAATGAACTATGACATCTGAGCAGTCCTTATTTATTCAGAATAAAACTAACCACAAGAGTTGGTGTTATGGAGACCTCACTCCCACCTACAAAAATACAGGAAGGGATGTTTTACTAATGCTGCCATTATCCTCAGTATCTCATCAGGCTCATAAACATGTGCAGTAGGTGAAACACACACAATATTTATTCTATTCTGTTTGTATTTTTCTTCCTTTTCATGTATTTGTGCCTTTATTTTTGTCATTTGACCAGAATCAAACTCAACAGGAACGTCTGAGTGCCAGACACATCCTTTTGTTTTGTTGTGGTTCTCACCAGATATTTCAGTCATTTTGGAAAAAGACCAACTGCAGACAAGATACAACAACCTGCACAACAATCACAGCCAGTTACAGGATGAAGTAAAGCAGCTCCAGGGGAAAATTGCAGCCCAAGACCCCACCCTGATAATTTTGGTGCAACCCTAATTTAAATAATGTAAATGTGGTGATTAAAATAGATTGAATTTAATAGGTTGTAAAAATGCATTGTAATGACATAATTGTACTTCCTCTGCAGGTTCTGGGAGACAGGACACTCTCAAAAGACCTGGTACCAGTATGTAGAATGCTGCAGTCAGCAAGGAAAATGGACACAAAGCAAATATTACAATTCTAACACCTGGATCTGTGAAAAAAATATCTCTTGCTTTTACTGTAGGGGAAGTGGTGTGTATTTTTAGGATGAATCCATCAACCCAATCACTATTTGTGCAGTTACTCACTCTGCACTCTCTGCATAACAAACACATGGCTCATTGACTGACAAATCCCCATACATAGTCATAGTTACATAACTTTTAAGTGACAACAGTAGAAATGTGTTTTTTTCTCCCCTAAAACCGACTTGCCATTCGACTCAATATTGTTACATTTAACAGGTCACATGACTCAGATGGGAGTCTTATGGTCTTTATTACATTAACTGTATTAGTCATGGATGTATATTGTACAAATAAAGAATGTACAGAAACTTTGACACTGAACTTTTGAAAATCTTGTCAGTGTAATCTGCAGAATCTAAGAATTGTCTAAAATCTGAAGAGTCAGCTTGGAAAATACAAACATTTCTGACAAGTTCATGCAACAGTCTTTGTGCAGCCATAGTCACAGGACCCTCTGTCTGACCATCAATAATTGGCCTCACAGTGCCGCCACAACACACTGCATTTAAAGCAAGTATCAAAAGTCCTGGTTGTGTGTCGGACGGTTTCGGTCCCTAATTCAAGCCGTATTGGTGCATGTTATGCCACAACCTGCCCATGGATGAAGACATGTTTTTGCCTGTTAAAATTGCCCTCAATTATTATTATGTATTAGCATGTTCGGGTAAGAACAAGACACAATTCATACTCTTAAGACTAGTGTACAACCAGCTGCTGTTTATTAGATACACATGTCCAAAACTAAGTCTTACACAACAGCCCTGTGACGCTGCTGTGGTATTTCTTGTATCCTACACCTCATCATGTTTGCCCATATCAGCCCATCACTAGTGAAGAAAATGTTCCGATGTGTCAAACATGATTACCCAACAAGGAAGAAATACTGCACATTTGCGCAACAACACAATTTTACCATGATTTACTGCACTGCTGCAGCCAACAATAAATGTTTAAATAGTGAACAGGGCCTTTACTTACTATAACTGAAGAGACAAACAGGCCTTTATTTACTTCAGTTGAAGAGTATTGTACTCATCATATTTTAGTGAGAGGGCTTGTTTTTTTCTGATACTTATCCAATTTATTGTTCTGCATATTTATAAAAAAAAAACCATAATAACAACAAAATAACAATATCCCGTATTAACAATTAATAGTTGCATTACCTGAAAAGGTCTTAGTAATGATATACTTAAAAGGGTTTTTAATAGAGTGATTCCAATATTTATTTGTTATTTCTTCCATCTGGATATTTGAAAATATAAATACAATAAAGTGATAATTTCATTTCTTTAATAAGGTGAAATGCTATTTAAAATAAATGATAAAAAAATGAGTTTATGTTTTTAACTCTTTTTCTTCCACAGTCACACATGACTTGAGCATTTATCTGTAGATGTGGTTTGTCTTGCTGCTGCTTCCTCGATGCTCACTCTCTTAAAAGCTGCCTAACTCACAGAGGAACAAACAGTGCGGAATAGCTGCACTTTGTTTCAAGTTCTTTCACCTCTCAAGATGTCTGCAGACATTCAAGCACCAGATGAGATTCTGGATGTGAACAGGAACAGAGTCAGGAACAATGGAGAAGAAAGAGAGGAAAGTCACATAGAGATCTATGAGCATGAAGACACTTTGAAACACACTCATATTGAACTTGGGTCCCATAAACTCAGTAAGTATAACAACAAAATATTGTACTACAAAGAGCTTGATATTTGTGCATGTTTGATTAAATTCTGAACAACAAATGCTTATTCCATTCAACTAACCTAACTTTGTACAAGAGGATACAAGACCATCAGTCCCAGTTAACATTAACAAAAGTCTATGGACTGAGACTCTGAGACACTGAAATGCAATTGAGTGTCACTTGACTTAAACTGTCACAGTTCTTACTGAGCAGATGAATGCAACTGAAGGATAAAGTTATCCATAACTTCAAAAGCCACTTCCAATGTGCTTTGTGAAAATATGTTTAAATGACCTTTGTCCCTGTAGTACCACTCACTCAAAGAAGACACTGCAAGCATACTGCCACAATGAGCATTCTGGGAGTGCTGTATCTTCTGATACTGGCTGGGATCTTCATGCGCTGTGAGGATTTGCTTTTTATTCTATCATAATGTATCAGGCTCTATGTTGTGCTCCAGCTGTTTGGTATTATCTTGACCTTGTAATCCTCTTTGCCGCTCATTGTGGTGTTTGGCGGGAAGTAGGTCTTTCAATCTCACTAAGAATAGACATCCTGGAGCCACTTTTGTCAGTTTGTTAATTTTATTACCAAGAGCAAATTAAACGCTTGGAGCAAATGTGCAGAAATAATAAGAGTAATTCTTAAAATGGAAAATATTTACTGTAGTAAAGACTCTCAAGCCAGTAAATGCATTTAAACTAGCACAAAAAAAATGGTTTAAAGTGGTTAAGGCAGGAATTAAAACACGTTCAACTCACAGCAGACTACCCCACACAGTCAATAAATAAATAAATAAAATAAAATAAATGAATAAATAAATAAATAAACCGAGGAAGTGTTTTACACTTCAAACTTTAGGATATAATGTCACTAATTATAATATGAAATATATTGAAAGTAGTGTTGAACTAAAAAGATAATTTAAATACATTTACCAAGCAATTTTTCATGAAATATTTTCTACTAATTGCAATGTTAAAAAAAACACCATCTGTCTCTGGCTGTATATTTCTTCCGGCTCTGCCTTCATGTCACTCTGCTCCATTCTGACAGCAGGATGATTTCCTGGAAATGTCTTTCTCCTCTCCAGTTTCTGAGCTATTGTTGTCACGCGTCATTGTGATCAGCTCAGCTGTTTCAGAGCTACTGGATCAAAGTGTATTTATCAATCACCAATCCCTCTGATCTACTTCACAGAAATCTGTTGCACTTGCTGCTGGTCATACTTGAACCAAAAAGCAGGTGTGCTTGGCCGAAACTGCCTGTGAATCCAAGACCTACAGCTTTGTGCTGGTTGTTGTTTGTGTGACTACAATGGGGCCCTAAGTCCTGTTTTCAATTTTTTTTCTTTTGTTTGGTTTGCTGTCAAGATCTCACCTGCCAGAACTGTAGCGCTGAATGTCTATATATTTTGGTAAAATGCTATGTCACTTATGTCATGTGATACTGTTTTTCTTTCCCAACCCTCTTTATCAACTCTTTTGGAAATTGAAAAACAAAAAGAAATAAAGAAAAGAGATAAAAAGTTAAGCCTGGCAGAACCCGTCATATGCACTGAAAAATGATAAAGCTAGTAGCTATTACACTCAGTTACTGGTTTATCAGGATCACCTAACTAAAACTAATGCAGTCCAAAACAACAGTACTGTAATGAATCCTCCTTCATGAAGGTCATAATGTTCAGTTTTTGTTGGAACTATTTTAGAGGGATGTGTTTCCGTGTTTCTATCTTCATTGCTTTAAATGGGGTGGACAAGTTAATGGAAACACCTGCAAGTATAACACACATTTCAATTCAATACAGTTCCACAGTAAAACAAACTGCAGGCTCCAAAATGATCAGGCAGTTGAATTAACACCTTCCTAAATTAGCTCCAACAGAGACTGGGAACTGATTATTTTGAAAGATTTTATGTTGTTTACCAGCTTTTTGTTTTTTTTCTGTTTTCACCAGATGCTGTTGTCATGTTGGAAAAACAAAATGTGATGGCAGAAAGAGACCAGCTCAATATCAATCTGACCCAGCTACAAATTAAAAACATCAATCTCACTCAAGAGAAAGACGAGCTACAGACCAGATATGACCTCCTGAATAAAAAAAAGGCGGACTTAGAGACGGAACTACAGTACTGCAGGAGTTTTTGTAAACGTAAGATTGTTTGTTAAACAAACAGATCTTAACAGTCTTGTCAATCCAACATTAACTTGACTTTTTCCTTTGTTTTTGTCTCCAATGTAGCATGGCCTCATGGTCGATATCCGCATTATACTCCAATGTAGTTTGGTGCTCTCGTGTTAGCAGTGATGAAGTGGGAACCTTGGTGCCAACTGTCAAAGCCGCTACCCACAAAATACATGGAGAGATTGGAGAGATCAGTCATCAAAAATCTATTCTTAGAGAACACCTTCCTTTACTAAGCCACCGTTGACTGACGCTAAATGTAGAAAAGCTAATAAAGTCTGTAAACACTGACTCTGTATTTTATTCTGCATTATACCTTGTCTCTTTTTATTTGCCTATCACACCCTTATTGTGTATATAGTGTATTAGATGTAATAATGTTTTCCTTTTTTTATGCATCCTGGCCCATATGTTTAATGTTGTTCTGTCATTAAAATTATGGTTTCGACATGATCTGCTTCAGCTAATTCTGATAAATACATGAGATGGCAACATTTACATTTGATATTGTATACAGTTCCTTACAAATAAAATATACCAAAGTGAACAACTATTAATGAAAGCTCAAGAGTTCCTTTATGTTTATTTGTGGTCACGGTAAATTTAATTTAAGGTATGCTGTAGCAGAAACAAATTGACTAGAATGGAGAATGAGTATAACAACTAACAGTATATGGGATTTTAGTTACAGTAATGTGATACAGCTTGAAACTGTATTTTAAAGATCTGACAAGCTGCAGTACAGTTCAGTGAAATCTGAAACATTATAACATTATATTGATATATAATTATACCAAATTTGGTACATTATTTGGTTTTCTTGATATTGCCCAGGTCTGGCAGTAACCAACGTAACTTTTATGCACCATTTCACTGTACTCTTACATGTCACTTTATCAGGAACAGAAACACATGCAAAGACACAAACGCGCTGCAAATTCAGTGAACATCTTCATCAATTTGACAACACATGCGCTGCAAATTCACACAACACACTTGAGATTTTTCCCAGCACACGTGTCACTGATCATGTCCCAACATGGGGTTACCAAAACTTTTTTAGAGCCAGAAGGTTCCGTGCATAGTTAGGGCATGAAGTAAAAGAGTATGATCTGTACTGTTCTGTGAGGGTCTGGCACAGGAAACCTTAAAACCAGAAACACTGACGAGACGTCTTTAAATGAGGCACCTGGATCATATTAATGAACCAGTGATTTTGTTTGAGGAACAATTTGAGAAAAGTGTGACTTAACCATTCGGCTGCCGGGATGACCCAATAATAGGTGTCTTGGATGTATCAGTTTGTGTCATTAACCCTGACAATGAACCACGTAATAATTCAGCTACTGTGACATCAGTAAGATGAGCCAAAAGACACGTTATTAATGCAATGTTTTCATCAGAGCAATGCAACTCACACCAGACTACCCCACACAGTC